TAAAAACTAACCCGCAATAATAAAAACTAACCCGCAATAAAAGAGTTATAGTTACCTTAAAAGGTAGCGTATTGCAGAGATCGCAAAAAATCACAACGTGGTGGCTGGGCTAGTCCAGAGRTCCCAGTGGCCGCATGAAAGAGTAAAATCCCCTCGTTAGTGCTGGAAGGAGCCGGTGGTTCCGGGGGCTCCCCTTCTGCCAGAGCTCGGCTTGTCCCCTCCTTCGCTCGCTTCCCGCCGGCGAGCACCTGACTCCGGAGCTGCGGAGCCGGGACCGAGCTGTGGGCAAAGGSAGCTCGCCTGCAAGTTCAAATGCGAGCCTCAGCCACCCATCATTATTATATCGTTGTACCGTCAGCGCTGCAGAGGAGGGGCGCTGGCTCGGGGAGAGGAGGGTTCACAAGCTCTACGAGAGCCTCCTTGCAATTTCCAAAGCTCCCGCAGCTGCTGGGCGCAGGAGAGCCCCCAGCGTCTGCCTTTGCAGAGCGGGGCCCCCCCTCCCCCGGCCCCGGCCGCCCCCTCGGGGCACCCCCCGGCCCCCCAGACCCGGAGAGGGGACCCCAACCCGGTGTGACGGGACGGGTCCCTCCGCTCGCCCGGCACCAGCCCTCGGGAGAGGGGCAAGGCGAGTGCGAGAGGCGCATTGTTCCCCAATTAGACAATTAACCGGGAAGAGAATGGAGAGACCTCCTCCGCCCTGGCTCCCGAAGCCGGCTGAAATGGGGAAAGTGACTGGGACCGAAATGCCTTTTTCTTCCCYTTTTGCCTCCCCAGTCTCAGCGGAGGGTTGCAATGAAAGAATATATTGGTGGTGGTTCCAAACTTCCCCTGTCGATGCCAATTCACAGGCAGCCTCGCATCGGCAGCCGCCCGAGCCAAGCTTCTCCACCCATGCATCTCCAGCCACTTTTCTTTCTTTTTTTTTTCCTTTTTTTTTTTTTTTTTTTTTTTTTTTTTTTTTTTTTTTTAGACTCTGCGTTTGCTGTCCAAACCTCTCAGAGATGAAGTCATAAGCAAAACTCTAAACCACCCTTTTACAAGGGATGTTCACCAGTTAATAAAGGGTCTGCTGTGCTCTCCAGACACCTCCCGTCCTAAAATGTACCTATCCCGGTRTGTGGGAGACATTTAAGGCACCCTCACCAGGCACAAAATGCTGGCAAAGAGCWGCGCCTCTGGCATGCTCCCTCTCACAGAAGCAGATGCCAGAAGCCCCCCTCCTCCAGGAAAGGTGTAAAGCTGGAGCCAGAAAAGAAAAAGCCTGGAGAAATAGGTGTGTCTGATTGCACTGCTCTGGGCACGTTTTTGGCAGCCCCAGGTACGACTGCTAGGAAGAGGCAAAGAAGGAGTTTTTCCTCCAGCTCCTCTCGCTGTTRCTGTTCCAGCTGCTGCGTCCCCAGAGTCACGCTGACGGAGGATTTCAGACAAGCCCAAAGCCCGTGTTTCCAAAGACAGACCTCGGTGCCAAGTTGGAGGGGCGGGAGGTGGAAGAGATGACAGCCAAGCAGGGAGAAATGGAGACCTGGAGGCTTAAACCACATCAGCTTTGTGTGAGCTGTGGCCTGGGTGRACGGAGCTGGGGCGCGGGGCGAAATCCTTATCTCAGCTCGCAGAGCTTGTTTGTTTTTCCTCCTTACGCAGAGTAAATACACAAATGCTTACTTGGGATGTCAAAGAGAGGCTTTTCTCCAGCACGGCCACATCCCAGCAGCACCAGTSCCTCCAGTTCCCCRWGCCTTGRTCAGTCCCTGCACGGTCCACACCTAAACACCACACCTGCCCCCTGGCTGGGACCAGSTTTGCCAACCCCTGAACCTCACAAGAGTTGACCAAAAACACGACACTGCTTACAAAGAGGTATTGTAAACAGTTGTGGGCACGTTTTTGAGGGTGTTTGATGTGAATTCACACGGAGGCTTTGCAGTTCCCGTTTCTGCTCGCCTTGCCATGTGCGGTGTCACTGCTGAGGCAGCACACGCTTCCTCTGCACGATGTTGTGATGAGGATATTGATGCTAAATCTATCCAGCCCTGGCTCAAGCAATCCTCTTGTGCCCTCCCAGATGTAAAGAGTGTGTGAGATCCACAGAGAAGGCACTGTTCCTTCTCCCCATACAATCCCAAGCTGCAGACAAACCCTTTGAAGACACATGCATGAGGCAGGAATGTCTCTGGCCCATTTCCTTTTCTAGGTGAAGAGGTGGGAAACCATCCTGCCCCCATCCCAAGCCTCTGGAAAGGAGGGTGGGTCACACCCCATGGATTTCTCCATGTCTCCAAGCTACTCTCCAGGATGAATGAGGAACTTGTAAAGACACCACAGTCAAACTGAAGCTGCCCCTCTGGCCTTCACCAGCCCCAAGTTTGCAGCCTCACCTGCTCCTACTCTGCTCCCTGCCCTGGTTTCAGGGAGGAAGGATGACCTTTAACAGAGCAGGAGCCATCTCTGCCACCCTGATTTTGCTTCTTCATCACCTCTTTAATGTTGTCCACTAGAGACAGAACAACTGCCCCTGGCAAAGGATGGAAAAAGGAGACTCTGACTCTGCTGCCCCTGCCCTGTGGAGATCCTCACCCTGCTGTGGATCATCCTCCCTGTGGCTACAACAGGACAACCCCAAAATGTTCTGTCCCCCCTGTGCTGGGGGTCCAGCTGAAGGCGTGACCGCCCCTCCAGGGGATGGGGAAATAGTGCGTGTGACCAGAAATCTGAGCAGGGAGTAGGGCCCGGGGGGTAGCGCTGCTCTCTGCCCTACAAGCACCAACAAGAAGCAACCAGTAGTTACAGCCCGGGGCTAACCAGCCCCGACTCGGCTCGCTGCTGGCAGCTCTTTTTTTTTCTTTTTCACGATGGGAAAGAAAATAGATTATTTTTTTAAGAGAAAAGACCCTTCCCCCCTCCCCTCCGCCCCCCGTCCCCTTTCCTCTCCCACCCCCCGATTGCCAGAGCTCTGATGGGAACCGGCCGGCCAAAGCYGCTCAGTCTCGGAGCTGGGAAGAAAGCGGAGGATGCAGAACCCACCCCCCTTCCCCCCTCCTTCCCCAGCCCGCTCCTCCTCCTCCTCCTCTTCCTCCTCTCCGCCCGGCGCGGAGCTCCCGGAGCCCCCGCGGAGCCTCGGGGCCCCGGGGCTGGAGGAGCAGAGCCGCCCCTTGCTCGCTCTCCCGGCGGTGGGGCCGCCAGCCGAGGGGGGCTCCGTGCTCCCCCCGGCCCTTCCCGCGGTGGGATGGAGGTTTTCTGGGCAGGGGGAGGCTTCGGGGATGGCGAGACAAAGGCACGGGCGGGGGTAGTCTTAGAGATCCTGTGGGGTTGGGAAGGGAGGGATGAATAACTCCTTCTGGGCATCCCTAAGGCAAAAAAACCCATAGSAAGGAGGGTGGGTTACACCGGAGACCCTCGGGGCTGTTAAGGATGGCTGGGGAAAGTGAGGAGCGGGTCAAGCTGGAAAAACAGAGCGCTGMAGCCCCTCGGTGTTTTCATCCCACTTTGTTTAACCCTCCCCACCTTCCCCCAGAGCCAAGGTTTCTGCACTGAACCAAAAAACTGTCCAGAAAGGGGATCTCCTTTCCTCCTCTTGGAGACCGYGCAAACTGCCTCCATGGGTTATGTCAGGGGCCTGAAACATTGTCTGATTTACTGTGAATGTCAGATACTTTTCTTTGTAAATATTTTAGGCAAAGTAGAAACAGTAAACCTTTGCTCAGRCTGCCAAAGTCTCCCATGACAAATCATTGTTTTCAGATGTTCAGATTTGTGTGAGAAAACCCAACAAAAGGGAAAATGTTTAGGCTTTGTCTCCATCCTAAAGCAATATCACTCGCGAAAAAAAAAATAATCCTCCCAGCTACATCGTAGTCCAGAGATGAAGAAAAATACTATTTTCATTACACACTTCTTAAGCACAGGTTTTATGTTACTGACTCAACAATGATTATCATTTTAAATGTGAAACACAGGCCCTAAATGGTTCTTTATGAGAAACCATTGTTTTAAAATATCTGAAATTAATTAGACCATGGCTACAGCCAGTGTGCAAATATCAAACTGAACATCTGTGGGGGGAAAAAAAGCTTCCCGTCACTTGAAAGAATATTGTGGATCTGAAACACAGTCTCTCAAGGAAAAACTAATATGTCTGRCATAGGTTCTTGTAAGCCATCTTTTGTGGCTTCACAATCACCTTTTCTTTGTCTTCTCTATGCTCTTTTTTTTTTCTTTCTGAGCTGCTGTGTGTGAAAAACCTTACGTAAAAGTAAAGRAAATAATTCATGTAATTTAGATGTMRGCAGTACAAAGGTCAGTTCGAGCAAACCAAAGATCCTTTCAAAGTTACTCCACTTGGTCAGTGTCTCTGAAGGTCCAGCTTCTCAATTCCATCTACTTGTGAAGGGTTGTGCAATGCCAGCTGTGCCAAAAAATGAGTCCATTGGCCCAGTTTTCCTCTCAAAGGTACAGAAATGTAGGCTGCTTCCTTRTTCTGCAGTGATTCAGTTATCTAAACCCCAGTGTGTTTTCACAAACCACAAAATCTTCCAAAACAATAGACTTTTCGCAAGTTCTCAGATTCCATGTTTAAGAAAAGCTTTTTTTTTTTTTTTTCCCCCCTCCACTTCTCTTTCCTACGCTTCAAGTGAAATATGTTTTCAGAGGCAAATTAAAACTCTCCAAAGGAGTCGGGCTTACCAGCAGTGGTAACCATAGTGTACACAACCACTTTCTCAAACAAAACACTTGATGGCTTATGTCAATGTTTCTTTTGTGGCAAAACCCTTCTCCACCTATTTTTACTCCATATTTCTTCAGCAATGAGGGGAGAGCACTCGGCTACGAAAAAAAACTATGAATGGAGTGTTTCATTTGGTAGCAGAACAAGCCACAATTGATGGTTAGGTATTATTTCTGCATTAAATGTAACGATGCAGACACGGCTCTATCTGCACCGAGATAGTCGGTTTCCAGGACAGGATTTATCAGGAGGAGGTCCAAGCTTTTCAGCAGCACTGGATGATGATGGCAAAGGCAGCGATATGTTTTCCTCCTGTGTTGCTCTGACTCCAAGGACAAGGGGCCAGACGGGGATGTTTTATGTTCCCACAGTTAATCCCCCCCAAAAGCTGTGTCAGGAAGGTGGTGGTGTTTGGTTCTGGCTGGTGCAAGTGTCAGTTTTAGTGAAAGAGCAGCCTGCTTCCCAAAGCCGGGTCCAGCTCCTTGAAGAACGGCTGCTTTGTCATTTTGGGGAGGAGTGGGACAGTCACCACCAAGGTCCTTCTCAGTGCTGATCCCTGTGAGGACCAAACACGGGGACAGGGCAAACAAGGGGGAAAGAAACTGAGAAAAATTATCAGCACAGGGTGGCCTGAGCCATAGTCAAGTGCTGTGCTAATCCGTGCTGTCCTGGGCTTCCTCTGATAAACTCCATCCTGGGCATGCATTATTTTTGTTTTGATAACTCCGTGGCTGCATCATAAGCTTG